ATCGACATTTCCAATTTCCCAAATCAAGCAACAGAAGGACGAATACTATTAAACCCAGATCTACAAACAGTGCCCAAAGCGTTCCAGAACCCCCGAAAACCAAAACCCCCAACAGGATGCAACAAATAATTAACAATCAATCAGTCAAAAACCCCAGAACCTGAACTGGATCTTCCGGATTTCGAGTCCGAAAACGACAGCGAGTAGGCGACTCTGCGGTTCGACTCAGATCTGACACAAAAACAACACGAAAACCATCAAACGACGACGGATCAACAGTACTTAACTGCATATAACAGTACCAGTAAGAACCCTGGAAAGCAAATCGATTGGGGAAGAAACTGCGATTGGGGTGAAAGATCTGACCTTTGACTTGTGGAATTGGGGCCGGAGACGAACGGATCTGGGACTTCGAGAGAGTGATTTGGTGTTCTCCGGGCGGAAGCTCTAGGTCAACGGAGCGGGAGAAGAGAGAGAGAGAGAAGGGGGTGGGGGGCGGAAGAAGGTGGTTTGGAGATCTTGACTATGGTGGGTTCTTAACGACTGAAGGCAGCCGAAAGAGAAAGTGAAATCGCCAAGAAATGGATGAAGGTCACAAACCCGCTGGAGTTTCGCCTCTCAGACTCACAATCATTTGAGACGAGACGACTGCGTTTTGCCGTTTTTGCTTTTCGAGGATCATATTTTCCTTTTGTTTTATATCCTTTACTTTAGCAAAGAGACATATGAAGATAATATTTATACGGCCCATATTTTGTTTTGCTACTTAAAATATACGATTATTTGTAGCACAAATCTTTTTCTTTTTTTTCGAACTAACGATATTATCTATATTAAGAAGATGAGAATTTGTAACACAAATCTTATCATGTATCTATATAGTGGGAAGAATCAAGCTTCGCTGCTCAAAGGGTAGTAGCAAGTCATGCTGAAATCCAATTATAAATAAATAAGTGTCCAATCATAGTTTTCAATTTCAATTATTCAGACACATGTCCATTTAATATTGTTTTTCAGCAGCACTTATTGCTCTCTTTTAGCAACAAAGTATAGTTGCAGTGGGAATGGGATCTTCGATTCGGATCCTTCAATCTTGTATGTTGAACTGAAAATCGAATGGCCAATAATTAATTAACTTTCTTTCTTGTTTTTCCTGTCATCTTCCTCCCTCTTCTCACTATTTATGACTCTCTACTTGTCTATCTAGGAGGACTTGGTTTCAATTTTGGGCAACCGGAGGCCAAAAAACGATGGTGTGAGCATGGTGGATCGGCAATCAGATCCAGCACCCAAGAGACATAAATAAACACTTATTTGCCTGATATTTTTCCAATAAATTAAGGTTATTGTAATCACAATGCGTTTTCAATTGCCGGTGTACACTTGAGTTCGACTTACGTTTTTTGTAGTGTATAGTGCGCCTTTTTGTTTGTAATACAACGATATTATAGAGTTTCGACTAACTCAATGAGTTAGTCACAATAAATATGACACGTACCATTAATAGAAATTGAGCTATAAATCTTCTTTTTACAAGTAAAAAAGAACAATATTATACCGTAATTTCATACCAGCTTCCAGAACAATTTGATCCACACAAGGGTCAATATAGTCAAACTTGATAGGCCACCTGCCACCGGAATAACGCAGCCTGCAGTCAACTGGTTGAAGTCCTATCTCATTCATCCCCAACCCAAGATTTTTGGACAACCAAATTTTAATAGGGCGACAACGAAATGACTCAAATTATAATTAAGTGCAAGTTGCGTGTGTAAAAGGTAGACTTATTGGGCTTTTGCTAAAAGTCCACAGATCGATGTCTTAAATTCGGATAAATATTTCATTGTGATTAGAATACAGATGTTACACCACATATTTTTATATAATATGAGAAATTTATTAGATTTTTAACACACATATTCCATCATTTATATAATAATAATACGTGATATACCGTTTTGTGGTTGGATCACATTGAAAAATATCTCCTAAACTGGGTGCGACCAAGTTGAAAGACAAGAACCCAATGAAGCTCGTCCTAACATGGGTCCATGTAGGCAACCCAATCCCGTTGAAGCTGCCGCTTGTAACTTTTTTATTATTTTATCACTTTGCAAATTAATATGAATTGTAAATATTTTAATTATTTAGTGCATTTATTAAAATATATATAACCACTTAGTACCACAATTTAGTTTTCACTTGTAAGTTAAAGGTTTTTAATTTAATTATTGTCAAAGATAAATTTAAACCACATTATTGTTACTTTATTGTGAAGTTAAGTTCACCTCCTTTCTGCTAGTAGATAATATCGTTTGTTAAAAAAAATTGTGTAAAAGAATTAATTCACTCTTTATTTTTTTTTTTTTTGTGGTTTGCTTACACGTAAATAATTGAACACGTATATATTTTTTTCATTTGGGATCAAATACTTAAAAATTATATTGACTAACGAACTAGTTAATTTGATTTGATTTAATTACTTTTTCTATTTGTAAGTTTCTGATTTCTTTCTTTTTTATATTTTTGTCAATAAAATATCCTAAATATTAAATACTAAATATTTGTGTCTTTTATCTTACAACGTGGTGTCCACACATAGCTTTATATAGTTGGATGATTACTTTTAAAAAGTGATGTCATTTAGATATTCTCTTGCACTTTTATTTAATTAAATGTTAGGCTCACTTTCATTTTAGCACGTCTAATTTGATACGGTGTCCCACCATCTAAACTAATCAAAAGTTTTAGGTTTGAATTTCAATCAATTCTAATCTCAAATTTTATACTTAGTTTATGTTTGGTGCTAAAGTTTTGTAAGATGAATTTTAAAATGGTGGCGAAGATGGTAAGTTATGATGAGGGTGGTGTTGACGGAGGCAGATTGTTTGCCTTCCTTTTATCATGCCCTTCTCATCTCCTTTTATTTGTGCGGTTATGGTTAAGCCATGTCAACATGTCTTGTTATCTTTTAAAAAATTCATATAAAATGTTGATGTGATTTAATCGTGACCGCACAATGTAGGAGGGGATGGGAAATGCATGGTAATAGGAGGGCAGACAATCTGCCTCTGGTATTGACGGTGGCAAAAGTAGGGGATGGTGGTGATATGACGACAATGATGGGTGGTGGTGATCGAGATGGAAGTTGTGGTGGGGTGTTGGTTGGTATTAAAGGATCCTCCTGCGCAGCCCATCCGGACCGTTAAAATTTAATCCAACAACTCCAAAACAATGGATCCCTTTAAAATTTATAATAATTGCAGTTGTTTGATTAAGTTTGAACGGTCCGGATGAGCTGCTCATAATGATCCCCATCCTAAGCTCATGAGAGAATCTAGTTCCGATATTAAATGCATTTCGCACGAGCTTTTGTGAAAAGAAAAACTGTTTTATAAACGTTAATAAACAATTCTAATTAAGATAGATTCTAGCTTACATGAATATATTGTCCAAATGACGTCACCATTTCTAATGCTTGTGCCAAATTTAGCCTCCATTTCTAAATACAGTGCACTTAAAACAATAGTTTAAAATGAATAGTGCATGGCTATAATTAAAATTTTGATGGTAGCCGTATTCATCTCCTCCAAACCTGTTATACAAATATTAGATTTCGGGATATTTTTTCCTATCATATACGATTTTTTTTTTTTAAATCACCAAACCTTATCCAATAGTTTTTCTTATTAAAAAAAAATCCACGACTAGTTGACGTCATCACATACATTAGATACCTTTTGATATGGATCGGTCCAGTTCCAGGTGTGTGAAACATCAGACGGCTTCAAAGCCGAGTCTACGTGATAAATGGTGGGTTGCATCACACCTTATCATTGTAACCCTTAGAGCATCTCAAAAAGATATGTAAAAAATGTCACGTAAGCATACAAATAAAAAAAAGGTAGCAAACTCTCTCTAACCGAGCCTTCAATTTCTTACATGATGCTGAGTCGTTTGAAGGCAAAGCGTTTTGCTCTCAAATTTGACAGCAGATGTCGAATTTATTAAAAGGGGTGCCTATCCACACACCCCTTTTTACTTCTCACACACCCTTGTTAATTTCTATCCGTTAGATCTTTTTCATTTCATCCGATCCGATGGCCGAAAATTAGAAGGGTGTGTGAGAAGTAAAAAGAGGTGTGATCACACCTCTTTATTAAATGATTTTTTAATAGATTCATATAATATATAATAAATGTTGTTATGTTTTTAAAATATTTAATTGGTTGCCTTAATGAATGGACTCCACAAAAAGATATAAAATTTATTAAATGACATTTTTATTTCACATATCGGATGAAGCAAAACATTGTGCTAAATGTCAAATTACCACATAAGTCATCAACTATTATTTTGATGTTTAAAATTTAGCATCTCGTTTGGTGATACTTTTACCACCACAACAGCAACGCATGCGCTAGTCCCATGAATGGTGGTGGCCTAAGGCTTCAAGTGGATTTCAATTAGTTTGCACAGCAACCTTTGGCTCGGGAATATTTTTCAATATTCTATTTAGCCCACCGTTGAAGATGAGTTTTTTGTTAAATGTGGGCTATATTGAGCCCTTTAGCCCCTCCATTGCAAATGAAAATTACTTAATAGATATTAGCCGCTTGTTCAAAAGGTAAATCACTTGTCAAATACAAGTTCACTACGTGGTGAATTGGGATTTGGGAACAATAAAATATTTAACTTTAAATGGGAATTGGATTCACAACCTAGGTCATACAAATTGAATCCGACAATTCTTATTAACACATTTCGTCGACTCACTACACAAACCAACAACTCCGATATCATTTACACACAAGTGTGTGACCCAAATTTATGGGCTCCGGACACTAAGGTCCGGAGTAGATCTAACTCCCTCTAAATGGGTGACATGGAAAAAAGATCCTACGTGTATGTCTCTTTGTCCACGTGACAGACTTTGATTGGAACAATGATGTCAAGACACTGAGAAGTCACAGAAACGGTTAAATCGCCTAAAAGCCAAAACCCAGCGATATGCAAAATTCTCAGCTGCAAAACTGAAGAAAATTGAAAGAAATCCCAAAAGTCCAAAATGTCGGAGACGAAGGCCGAGAGCAAGAGCAAAAACCCTAAGAAGGTCAATCTCTCAGATCAGAGCTCCATCAAGCACCTCCTCGACGAGTCCGTCTCCGAGGTCGGTCGATTTTTCCCCAATGTTTTCATACATTTAATTTCACCAGTTTACCGATTGCGTTTAAAATCTCACAATTTCTTCAATTTCTGAAAGATTTGGGTTATACGGTTATCAGAATTTTGTTGTTGTTTGATTTATTGTGTGATTTGTGGATTATGAGGCTGTTTGGAGTGATTAGTGATGGGATTAATTTAATTAAAATGGTTTTGTAGATTGTTAAGAGTCGCGGGTATGTGGAGAATACGAGGCTGAGTAACTTGAAGTTGTTGATTGGAACCGTTGTGATAATCATTGCTTTGTTTGCTCAGTTCTACAACAAGAAATTTCCGGAGAACCGAGATTTCCTGCTTGGATGCATTGCATTATATCCTTTTTCTTTGAATTGATCTCAGATAATTGGTTAAAGTTAGGTGCTAACTGGGTTCTGCTGTCTGTTCTTGACATTGTTTGATCGTGATTTTTTTTTAGTAATCACCATATTCCGTAAGTCGTGTGTTTTTATAAGTGTAGAATTATCAGAGAAATGGGCCAAAGGCCCACTTCCAACAACACCGATATTGTCCCCAACTTGGTAATTACCACCTGCACAATCCGTCATGTATGGGGTTTTATCACAAAAGGCCTCGGATTTAGTTGGAGCGGGGTTAGAATATTTAAACTCTTATTTTCTCATTGATACGGTCGATGTGGGACATTTCAACTTTTTTTCCGAAATTTTGAGCGGATCAACTTTGAACTACTTGGTTCAGAAGAATTGAAAAATGAATTTTCGGAAAGGACTGTAAGAATCTGATTGAATAGTTAATGGCATATTCTTGTTCGAATGATAATTCCGCAAGTCCGTTTCATCTTTGACTCTGGCAAGTATGTCATCGTTAATGGGATATTGCAGCTGGTCTCATACACGAAGGAGAAAAATGCAATCTTGTTCACTCATCCTCCTGCGGTAAGCTTATTTATGTTTTTCTTAGTAAACATTTTCATATTTGTTGTTTAATGTTTGTATATTGTTTTTAAGTATTACCACCACATAGTCTATTGATGTCTCGGTGAACTATAGTTTCATGCTTGGTGGAGATGGGTTCTGCAGATGTTTTGTATAAGATTTTAGTACTACGCAGGATGTGAGGAAGAAGAGTTGAAGTCATTAGCAATGCCGTCTTAAATCTGTCAAATTTTGCCATGGCATGGACTGTCTTAAGCTTAATTCAAGTCACAAGGCTTGTTTACGTTTTGTTATAAATAATACAAACTGTTGAGTTTTTGCTCTAGCATGGTTCATTAGTTAATTTCTCCTTCAGTATAGCAGATGAACCTTTAAGGGAAGCATGTGAGAGTTTTTTCTCGTTGCATGTTTAGTTTGTAGATCCAGATACTTTGAACTGAGGTGTCATTGTTTTCTTCGCTAGTAACTATGTACTATAGTTGCTGGAAATTTCAATTCTGCCAAGTATGTGTGCCAAAAATATTTTCAGTACGTTGGGGTCAGTTTGGCAAATCAGGATTATCAAGTCGGTTTAATTTCAACTTAAACAAGTGCGAAACTCAAAGAAAGTTAATAGTTTCAGTTTTACAGCTTCTGTATAATCACTTGGAATTTGGGCTAGCAGTTCATTATATCATCTGAAATGGATGCACATTAAGTTGATTCACGAAGGAGAAATCGAAATATGGTGTTGTTGCCTAACATAAAAATTGGTGGTGTTGTCCATTTCTCATTAGTAATGCATTTGTGCAGGGGGCCTTTAGCACCGGGTTGGTGGTGTCTTCCAAATTACCAAGATTTTCTGACTTGTACACGCTTACAGTAGCCAGTGCAGATCCAGAATCAATATCTGCAAACAAACCGGTGGAATTCACAAAGAGCGTCACTCAGTGGTCTCTCTCTTCCTCCGCCTCTCTCTTTCATGTCTGCGCATAAGTGCTCACACGTGTGTTCATATTGCTTCTTGGAGTTTCAAGTTGCACTAATATTTTCTGCTCTACTTTTGTTTTTCTGTTTCAGGTTTACCAAGGATGGAGTGTTGGTGGAAGGCCTTTTCTGGAAGGAAGTAGACGGACTCATCAACGAGTATGCAAAAGAACCGAAGAAAAGCAAGTGAATTCTGGCTTTTCAGGGAACTTCATTTGTTGTGATTTTGGTAAAACCTCTTGGTAGTCATGCACTTGAATGAATTTGAAAGACAGTTTACACCATCCTTTATAATGATCGCTCGGGTTCCAACTTCCAAGCTTATTTATGAAAGTGCCTTTGTGTTTGTTAGATATCATGAAATTGTGAGCTCTGAAATTACTAGTGTTCTTTTTTCGTGTTTGTAAACTTTTATTTTGCTTTTTGTTCATAGTTTCGTTTAGCAGAAAAAGTTAAAAGTGCTTATTCATGAAGCATTGCTTTCATTTTCAATTTTGGGCTCGTTAATAGTGGTTCTCGGTGGTCAGAATAACTTTCAGAGAGAGGCACTTCATGTGACAAAAATGCTTATATCAAAAGCGCCTTCAAGTACTTTTAACATGAAGCATTCTCAAGTGGAGTACGTTCTAGGAGAATCCTCTAGATTGTTTTAAGCTTAATGTTGAGTGGTATTTTGAGAGATTTTGATGGTAAATGAATTTCTGGGTCTTACGCCAATTTGGGCATAGGTGAGATTCTCATTGCTATGGAGTCTTTACTTCGGCTTACCTGGCATGAAGATTACGGATTGATCAATTATTAAGGTTTGGAGTCTTGGGCTTACAATTTGCATGGAGATTACACACATTGATTAATTACTGGTGGAATCAGACTCTGCAATCGTAATTCATTTGGTGTTGCAAGTTGTTGGCAATAATTATCATTTGGATGCTCTTGTTGTACCATGTCGAGAATTGCATTTAAGATATTGGCAATGCGAACTTCAGCATGTTTATAGAGATTTTTATTTTTATTTTTTATTTTTTGTGGCAGACAATTTAGCTGCTTATAAGCTTGCTTAGTTGATATATATTTAGGCACTTTTTATTTTGATAATCCTCCTTATTTAGTTAGTTTTATTCGTAAGAATTGACTTGAGATGTCCCAATCTAAATTTATTATTGAGCAAATTTATTTGAGCTTTTACCTTGAGCCCCGTTTTTCAATAAAAAAGTTCATTGTGACATGATGATATTTTTTTTCATATAAATGTCTCTCGTATTGTAGAGAAGTATTTCCAAACGAGTCTTAATATACGTATAGCGCAACATGATCAGTCCAATATCGGATAGGCCCAAAAGAATTGGGTCGGTTGATAGGAATAAAACAGTATTTGCCCCTTCTGGAAACACCCCCAATGCTCCTTCCTTCTACAACCATCGATTACCTCTTCCTTAAGTTTCTTCTCTCTCTCTCTCTCTCTCTCTCTCTCACTGAATCCTAATATATTACAGCAAAACCCTAATCAATCTCAATTCTCTGTTGTACTTGTTTGCCTTCATTTCATGGTCAAATGGCGAGCAGGAGAGCCACCACAATGCTCACCAAGTCGGCCCTGGCCTTGGCGTACCTGAACGCCTCCACCAGAAACTCCCTCTCTCATCAGTGTCGCGCGATCGCCGTCGCCGGCTCCTCCCGCGCCTTCGGAAGCTCCGCCGCTCCCTTCTCTCGCCCCGGCATCGTTTCGGATAGGGGAAATGTCGCTTCGGCCAAGTATTTGGCAAGCGCCTTCACTCGCAGCTTCCACTCTACGACTCCCAATTTCTACTCCGCCACGAGCTCCTCCCAGGTCACAAAATCCCTAAAACTTTTCTCATTGGATTTGAGGCTAATTTTTGAATTTTTGAACTTGATTGAAAAATCAGGTCAGTCAGAATGAGTTCACTGAGATGGCGTGGGAGGGCATTGTGGGTGCCGTTGAAGCTGCCCGAAATAGCAAGCAGCAGGTGGTGGAAACTGAGCACTTGATGAAATCGCTTTTGGAGCAGAAGGATGGTTTGGCCCGGAGAATTCTCACCAAGGCGGGTCTCGACAACACTACGGTTCTTCAAGCAACTGACGAGTTCATTGATAAGCAGCCCAAGGTTCATTTAATCGAAACCCCTGTCCCATTTTTCATCATAGATGTAATGGCATAACCATGTTTCGTTTCAATGCAAGTGCTTTAATTAGAAACTCGTCAAGATTTTATTGAAAACCCAATTGCGTCCTGGAAAAGCACTTGGAAGTGTTTCCTGAAAAGGAAGTAGGTTTAGGGATAGAAGAACTATTATAGTTTTTATGCAAAACGTAGTCATAGGGGCTTATGATTGCCAGAGAGCGGTTTTAGCTTCAGCAGAAGCAGTCCCAAACTGTCCTTGAGATGGCATTGTGGTTAATCGAACATTGTGTTGTGGTAGGTGACGGGTGGCACCAGTGGCCCTATAATGGGTTCGCATCTGGTTGGCTTGTTGGACAATGCCCGACGGCAGAAGAAAGATATGAAAGATGATTTTGTGTCGGTGGAGCACCTTGTGTTGGCGTTTCAGGCCGATGCACGGTTTGGGCAGCAATTGTTCAGAAACCTCCAGCTTAGTGATAAGGATTTGAAGGAGGCTGTTAAAGATGTTCGTGGAAATCAAAGAGTCACTGATCAAAGTATGCTGTGCTTTACCTTGAATTGACATTTTACTATGCAGATATGTATTGGGTATTCTTATATACCTTAAATAATAAAATCAATGTTGTTTTTTTATATAGATCCTGAAGGAAAGTATGAGGCCTTGGATAAGTACGGGAGTGACTTGACTGAACTCGCTAGGCGGGGCAAACTTGATCCTGTTATTGGCCGAGATGATGAAATACGGCGGTGTATCCAGATATTGTCTAGGAGAACGAAGAATAATCCTGTTATTATTGGTGAGCCTGGTGTAGGAAAAACTGCAATTGCTGAAGGGTATGTTTATTTGGGTGCATTGCATCTTTCTACTCTTATCTTACTTTTTCAACAAGTTTTGATTTAGTATGACTTCGATATTAACTGCAGATTAGCTCAACGGATTGTACGTGGGGATGTTCCAGAACCGCTATTGAATAGAAAGGTAGTTATTCATTTCAGTGTATTTATCAATTGATTGATATGCTTTTCTCATAGGTACTACACTAAATATTTTCTGTGGAAAAAAAAACCCTTAGTATAGGAACTTCTTTCTTGTTTGAAGATTTAATCCAGATTTTGACATTGTTATTCAAATCTGAACCAGGTTCAATTTCTTGTACTTGGATCTCAATTCAAATTTGGCTAGATCCACCCTCAATTCAATTCATTGTATAAGTATACTGCATTAATTGTGCGTGATGTTTCACATGAAACTGTTTCTTCTTTGACTTTAAACATTTGTGCATTAATTTTTCATTTTGTCTTGTATTCTACAGTTGATTTCCTTAGATATGGGATCATTGGTTGCTGGTGCCAAGTTTCGTGGGGATTTTGAGGAAAGGTTGAAAGCTGTTCTGAAGGAAGTTACTGCTTCTAATGGACAGATTATACTATTTATTGATGAGATTCATACTGTTGTAGGAGCAGGTTTGTGCTCTTTTCTGATAAAGCTATAGTAGTGTATCTGTCATGTTTTCTCCTGATGTCCCTGTTAATGATTCTTTTAGGGGCTACAAGTGGTGCGATGGATGCTGGAAACTTGTTGAAACCAATGCTTGGGCGAGGTGAACTTCGGTGTATAGGAGCAACTACATTAAATGAGTACAGAAAATACATTGAGAAGGATGCTGCACTTGAGCGTAGATTTCAACAAGTATTTTGTGGCCAGCCATCTGTGGAAGACACAATATCCATTCTTCGTGGCTTGCGTGAGCGCTATGAACTGCATCATGGTGTGAAAATATCGGATAGTGCTCTTGTTTCTGCAGCAGTTCTCTCAGACAGATACATTACAGAACGTTTTTTGCCTGACAAAGGTAACAAACTTTTCATCTTATAGGCCTTTTCTTGGTGGTGACAGGGGTCTGGTAGAAATGGGTTTTCCTTGTAAAATTTTCTTCATGTTCTGTATAGAACTCTATTTGATTCTGTGAAAATGAATCTGCTGCAGCCATTGATCTCGTTGATGAAGCTGCTGCAAAGCTGAAGATGGAGATCACTTCTAAGCCAACCGAGTTGGATGAGGTAGACCGAGCTGTGTTGAAGTTGGAGATGGAGAAGCTATCAGTGCAAAATGACACTGATAAATCATCGAAAGAAAGGCTAAGCAAGTTGGAAAGTGACCTGGCAGTGCTGAAACAGAAACAGAAAGAGCTAAATGAACAATGGGATCGTGAGAAGGCTCTCATGACTCGCATACGATCAATTAAAGAAGAAGTATTCCTCTGTTTACTGTGCAATTTTTTTTTTTTGGAAAATTCCCTCGTATCTTGATTTGCTGATTCATATGTTTTTAAACTTTGTAGATTGATAGAGTAAACCAAGAGATGGAAGCTGCTGAACGTGACTACGACCTAAATCGTGCTGCTGAGCTCAAATATGGAACTCTAATGTCCCTACAACGCCAGTTAGAAGAGGCTGAGAACAACCTTGCTGAGTATCGGAAGTCTGGAAACTCTATGCTTCGTGAAGAGGTCACAGATATTGATATTGCTGAAATTGTAAGCAAATGGACTGGTATACCCTTGTCAAACCTTCAACAATCAGAAAGAGACAAGCTGGTTAAGCTGGAAGAGGTCCTTCACAATAGGGTGATTGGTCAGGATATAGCTGTGAAATCTGTAGCTGATGCAATTCGACGTTCAAGGGCAGGTCTCTCTGACCCAAATCGACCAATAGCAAGTTTTATGTTTATGGGTCCTACTGGTGTGGGAAAAACCGAGCTTGCAAAGGCCTTGGCTGGCTATCTCTTCAACACAGAAAATGCACTTGTCAGAATTGATATGAGTGAGTACATGGAAAAACATGCAGTTTCACGCTTGGTTGGGGCACCGCCTGGTTACGTTGGTTTCGAAGAAGGTGGGCAGCTAACAGAAGTGGTTCGTCGAAGACCTTATTGTGTAGTGCTATTCGATGAAATTGAGAAAGCGCATCACGATGTCTTCAACATTTTGTTACAACTGTTGGATGATGGGAGGATAACCGACTCTCAAGGGCGAACTGTAAGCTTCACCAATTGCGTTGTCATAATGACCTCAAACCTGGGCTCCCACTACATACTCGAAACTCTTCGTAGCGCACGCGACAGCAAGGAGGCAGTTTATGAAGTGATGAAAAATCAGGTCGTCGAGTTGGCAAGACAAACTTTCCGCCCTGAATTCATGAACCGAATCGATGAGTATATTGTGTTCCAGCCTTTGGATTCGAAGGAGATCGCTAAAATTGTTGAGATACAGGTGAGCAATCTATCTTAAATGCTTCTATTAGCGAGTCTTACTAGAGATGCTTAACTT